GATGCCAAAATTCTGAACAAAATACTAGCAAATCAAATCCAGCAACACCTCAAAAAAATTTTTCACCATGACAAAGTGGGATTCATCCCAGGGATGCAAGGCTGGTACAATATATGAAATCCATAAATGTGTTAAACCACATAAACAAAATTAAAGATAAAAATCATATGATCACATCAATAGACACTGAAAAAGCATTCAACAAAATCCAGCACCCATTTCTGATAAAAACACTCAGCAATCTGAGAATAGAGGGATCATATCTCGACATAATAAAGGCCATATATGAAAGACATACTGCCAACATCATACTCAATGGGCAAAAATTAAAAGCATTTACCTTAAGAACAAGGGCAAGACAAGGATGCGCACTTTTACCACTCTTATTTAACAGCATTGGAAGTCTTAGCCACAGCAATCAGAGAGGAAGAAAAGATAAAAGGGATCCAAATTGCAAAAGAGGAAGTGAAACTGTCATTATTCGCAGATGACATGATACTATACATAGAAAACCCCAAAGACTCCATCAAAAATCTACTAGACTAAATGAATTTGGCAAAGTAGCAGGATACAAAATTAACGTCAAGAAATTGAGAGCATTCTTATACACCAATGATAAACTCACAGAAAGAGAATCTAAGAAAACAATACCATTTACCATTGCGGCAAAAAAATTAAGATACCTAGGAATAAACTTAAGCAAAGAAATAAAGGACCTATTTACAGAAAACTACAGGTCATTGAAAAATGAAATAGAGGACAATATAAAAAAGTGGAGGCACATACCTTGTTCATGGATTGGAAGAATTAACATCATTAAAATGTCCATACTACCCAAAGCAATCTATAGATCCAATGCAATCCCCATCAAAATACCAATGACATACTTCACAGTACAGAACAAATACTTCAAAATTTCATATGGAACCAAAAAGACCTCAAATAGCCACAGCAATCCTGAAAAGGAGGAACAAAGTAGGAGGGATCACATTACCAGATTTCAAGTTGTACTACAAAGCCACTGTAATCAAAACAGCCTGGTACTGGCACAAGAATAGGCATATAGAATAGAACAGAACAGAGAACCCAGAAATGAACCCAAGGCAATATGCTCAATTAATATTGACAAAGGTGGCAAGAGCATACAGTAAAAAAGACAGCCTCTTTAATAAACGGTGTTGAGAAAATTGGACAGCAAATGCAAAAAAAAATGAAACTAGACCATCAACTTACACCATACACAAGAATAAACTCAAAATGGATAAAAGACTTAAATGTGACGCATGATTCCATAAAAATCCTAGAAGAAAATGTAGGCAACAAAATTTCAGACATCATACGCAGAAGAATTTTCATTGATAAATCACCTAAGGCAATAGAAACAACGAAGAAAATGAACACATGGGACTACATCGAACTCAAAAGCTTCTGCACAGCAAAAGATACAATCATCAAAATGGAAAGGCAATTGACCTGGCTTGTTTTGCTCAGCGGTTAGAGCATTGGCCTGCAGTCCAGAGAGACCGGGTATCAGTTTCCGATAAGGGCACGTATCTCAGTTGCAGTTTGTCCCTGGTCCTGGTTGGGTTGTGTGGGTGGCAGCCACTCGATGTGTCCCTTTCACTTCGATGTTTCTCTCTCACTCTCTTTCCCTCCCACTCAATTTAAACGAAAAAAGGAAAAATGTCCTTGGGTGAGGATAAAACAATTTTTTAAAATGGAGAGGCATAAGCTTTTGAGTTTGATGTAGTCCCATGTGTTCATTTTCTTCCTTTGTTTCTATTGCCTTAGGTGATGTGTCAGTAAAATTCTGCTGCGTATGATGTCTGAGATTTTGTTGCCCACAGTCTCCTCTAGGATTTTTATGGATTCATGAGTTACATTTAAGTCTTTTATCCATTTTGAGTTTATTTTGGTGTAGGGTGTAAGTTGATGGTCTAGTTTCATTTTTCGGCAAGTAGCTGTCCAATTTTCCCAGCACCATTTATTAAAGAGGCTGTCCTTACTCCACTATATGCTCTTGCCACCTTTGTCAAATATTAATTGAGCATATTGCCTTGGGTCCATTTCTGGGTTCTCTATTCTGTTCCACTGGTCTATATACCTGTTCTTGTGCCAGTACCAGGCTGTTTTGATTACAGTGGCTTTGTAGTATATCCTGAAATCTGGTATTGTGATCCCTCCAACTTTGTTCTTCCTTTTCAAGATTGCTGTGGCTATTCGAGGCCTTTTTTGGTTCCATATGAACTTTTGAAGTAATTGTTCTAATTCTGTGAAGTATGCCATTGGTATTTTGATGGGGATTGCGTTGAATCTGTATATTGCTTTGGGTAATATGGACATTTTAATGATGTTAATTCTCCCAATCCATGAACAGGGTATGTGCTTCCACTTTAAAGCTTCTGCACAGCGAAAGATACAATCATCAAAACGGAAAGGCTACCCACTGTAAGGGAGAGCATAATTGCCAATGATATATCAGATAAGGGGTTAATTTCCAATACATATAGAGTACTCATACAACTCCACAAAAGGAAGACAAAGAATCCAATTAAAAAATGGGCAGAGGAACTAAATAGACACCTCTCCAAACAGGACATACAAATGGCTAAGAAACATATGAAGAAATGCTCATCATCACTAATCATCAGAGAGATGCAAATCAAAACAACAATGAGGTATCACCTCACACCTGTCAGAATGGCCGCCATCAACAAATCATCAAACAACAAGTGTTGGCGAGGGTGTGGAGAAAAGGGGACTGCAGGTGGGAATGCAGACTGGTGCAGCCACTATGGAAAACAATATGGTGTCACCTCAAAAAATTAAAAATTGATCTTCCATTTGACCCAGTGATCCCACTTCGAGGAATATACCCTAAGAAGCATAAAACAACAATAAAAAAGAGTATATGTGCCCCCATCTTTGTAGCAGCACTATTTACAATCACTAAGATCTGGAAACAGCCCAAGTGCCCATCAGTAGACAAATGGATCAAAAAGCTGTGGTACATATACACAATGGAGTACTACGCAGCGGTAAGAAAGAAAGATCTCTTATCCTTTGAGACTACATGGAGGGACCTGGAAAGTATCATCCTAAGTGAAACAAGCCAAACAGAGAAAGACAAATTTCATATGATCTCACTTATTTGTGGAATATAATGAACATAACAGTTTGAGGAATGGGGTAGTCCCAGAGACGCGGAAGCGGGGTACAGACTGACAATCCCCTAAGGAGTGGGGAGGTGGAGGAGGGATGAACCACAGAACTTATACACATGTATGCATGAACAGTGGACTTGGACAACAATCTGGGGAAGGGACAGGGAGGGGAGAGGGAGGGGGAATCAGTGGGGGAGAAAAGGAGAATCATCTGTAACAAAAATTAATCAATAAAAAATAAAAATAAAAAATATATAAAATTTAAAAAAATGGAGAGGCAACACACTGTATGGGAGAGCATAATTGTCAATGATATATCAGATAAGGGGTTAATTTCCAATATATATAGACTGCTCATACAACTCAACAAAAGGAAGACAAAAAAACCAATTTAAAAAATGGGCAGAGAAACTAAACAGACACTTCTCCAAACAGGACATACAAATGGCTAAGAAACATGAAGAAATGCTCAACATCACTAATCATCAAATAGATGCAAATTAAAACAATAATGAGGTATCACCTCACACCTGTCAGAATGGCCGCCATCAACAAATCATCAAACAACAAGTGTTGGCGAGGGTGTGGAGAAAAGGGGACTCTAGTACACTTCTGATGGGAATGCAGACTGCTGCAGCCACTAAGGAAAACAATATGGTGTTACCTCAAAAAATTAAAAATTGAACTGCCATTTGACCCAGTGATCCCAATTCTAGGAATATACCCTAAGAAGCCTGAAACACCAATCAGAAAGAATATATGTACCCCCATGTTTATAGCAGCACTATTTACAATAGCTAAGATCTAGAAACAGCCCAAAAGTCCATCAGTAGAGGAATGGATAAAAAAGCAGTGGTACATATACACAATGGAGTACTATGCAGCTGTAAGAAAGAAAGATCTCTTATTCTTTGAGATGACATGGAGGGACATGGAGAGTATTATCCTAAGGAAAACAAGCCAAACAGAGAAAGACAAGTATCATATGATCTCACTTATTTGTGGAATATAATGAACATAACAGTCTGAGGAATAGGGTAGTCCCAGAGACGTGGTAGTGGGGTACAGACTGACAATCCCCAGAATAGGGGGTGGTGAGGGAGAGATAAACCACCGAACTTATATGCATGTATGCATGAACAATGGACATGGACAACAAAGCTGGGTACAGGGTGGCGAGGGAGGGGATGGGTGGAATCAGTGGGGGGGGGGGCAGAAACATCTGTAACATAAATATATTAATATTAAAAAATTAAATTAAATTGCTGCAGCACACGTGTTGACAATCGCTGTTCTAATACAACAATGATGTGAGTGAACAAAGCTTGTAGAAGATGTGCTCTTCCAACACACTGAGTGGTTTTGTTTACTATATGAGCATTAAGTACAGGGTAGGAGTCCACCAAGTCCTTGGCATTAGATAGATCATGAGTCAAATCCCAGAACTCCCTTTCACTAAGAAATGTACATCACTGTCTTGTCTGAAAAATGAGGGATAGCTTGCCAACTCCAAGAGCTATTGTGAGAATAAAATAATGTCAGTGATAGACTCCCAAAGTGCCCTAAACTCCCCTTTACAGGGCTTTGCACCCTTGTAATCACGCACAGTTGTTCAGTGGCTATCACCCCAGTGGATTATGAGCATTGGGAGAGCTTTATTCACAACTGTATTCTCTATAATTGTTGACTGACTTTTTTTTAGCACGGTGCCTGATGCCTGGCATAGGCTTGATAAATAAAAGCTTTTATTAACATCCATCTCAATCTAATAAAACAGGGAAGCATTGCTAGTCAATGAAAGGCTCTCAGTTGAGACCTCTGACCTCAGAAACTTACTCAGAAAATAAGTAGACACCGTGGAAGAGGAACGAGTGTTGGGCTCTCTGTTGTTATCCACAAGCACAGAAGTGGGCGATTCAGAGGCTCTGCTTCCAAGACTCTCACAGACCGCCAGGAAATGAGTTTCTTCCCGGAGTTCTGGTCCTTGAAACCCAACCCAATCTGTGAGTCCAAATGAACAAGATACCAACTGCTGAGTGGGAGGTAGTATCATCTATGGCAAGAGGCCTAGCCCTTTCCCAACAAGGTGTTACTTTTGATTTCCTTCAAGTGTGCTCAAGGTGGGTGAAGTGGCAGCTGTTGGAAGACTGGGTGAGGTGTGGGCTGGCTGAGTCAGTGCTGGCCAGGTTCCCCTTGGGAAATTCCCATGGGGAGGGCAAAGGGTGGCAGTTGTCAGCTGGGAAATTAACCAGGCGTGACTTCAAGATCAATGGATAGATTACAATCTGCCCACGGAAAAGCCTGAGTCTAATGAAAGGATAGATGTAAAAGTGAGCTCTTGTGTATAGAATAAAGTCCTTAACCTTGGCCCTTTCTGTATCCAACATATATTATTTGCCACCTCTCTAGCTCACAGGAAGTCACTAGAATAAACAAAATGAAATAAAAAATACATATTTTTAAAAACTGAAGAAGTATATATGAAGTAGACAAATGAACTTGGGTAGATTTTCATATTGTGCTACTTTTTTTAGGCTAATACATTTTATTTAATTTTATTTTTAAATATATGTTATTGATTTTTTTTTTTTTTAGAGAGAAAGGAAGAGAGAGAGAAACATCAATGTGAGAGAGAAACATTGATCGGCTGCCTTCTGCACGACCCCCACTAGTTATCGAGCCCATAACCCAGGCATGTGCCCTGACCAGAAATCAAACCGGGACCTTTCAGTCCATGGGATGACACTCAGTCCACTGAGCCACACCAGCTGGGTTCATACTGTGTTACTTTTATGAGCAAAAAATATATAATTAAAATACTATTGAAACATATTCATTCATGGAATTATTTATTATTATTATTATTATCATTATTTGCCTACACTTTGCAAGGAGCAGATTCCCATTTTAGGGAACAGAGCCCCCAGTCAAGGAACCAGGATACTTAGGTGATTGCTATTTGATTAGCCATGTGGCCTTAAGGCATCAGATCCCAAAATAACAAAATAAAACACCCAATAATAAAAATTTAAAAAAATGTCTTACAGACATTTTAAGTTTCCTTCTACATCCTCACGTTTAAATTATTTTTTTCCTTTATTAATTTTTAGAGAGAGAGGAAGTGAAAGGGAGAGAGACAAAAACATTGATAAGAGAGAACATCGACTGGTCCCCTCCTGCATGGCCCCCACTGGGGATCAGGCTCACAACCTGGGCATGTGTCCTGACCAGGAATCAAACCAGCAACCTCTTGGTGCATGGGTCAATGCTCAACCGCTGAGCCACACCAGCTGAATATCCTCATGTTTAAAATAAACATGTATTTCAAGTTCTTAACCCAAGTCCTAAAGACAGATTGATAAATAAACTTGCATAGAAGGAGTAACGGGTAGAAGTTGAGGGTGATGCGGGACCCCGTGAAAGGCAGGAAGGACTCATTCCTCCTAGACAAAGATAAACTCCCAGGGAACACTTCTTCTGCCTGCCTTCTGGTTGGGTAACTACTGTCCCGCAAGACAAAGGACTATTTCCCAGGGGAGGAAATGATTTTTTATTAGTAATGATTTTCACTTTATAAGACATCAACTATACACTACAGACTTTCTCTATGCATTATTTCTAACCGTCAAAATAAGTCCCAGTTTATAAATGAGATTGAGAAGGCACAAATGACATGAGATCATTATATTTATCATACTTACGGAAGATCATTATACTCATAAATGAAAAGTGGTTTGATCCCAGGCCCGCTAGCTCTGTGAGCTCATCCTTCCTTTAGTCATGCTTGAGGTCGCCCGGGGAAACCCAGAGTGGGTGGCAATGCTGCCCTGCAGAAGGAGCACAATCAGATGGGGTCCAGCCAGGCACTTTTGTAGGCTGGGCAATGCCTCTTCCCTAAACTAGGGCACTTAAACTGCAGGAGTCAGTACTGAACTATACAACCCCTGATTTTAGCTTCTATTTAGTAAAATGAAAGTTTAAAAAACATATAATGAAATATTTTTTAGCTTTTATTATGGAAAAAGTTTCAAACACACACAAAAGTCAAGAAAGTGGTCAAAATGGCGTGGCTGCAACTGCTGTCACCACTTTGCCGTGCTTGTTCCATCCATTCCTCATACAGGCCACAGTGTTTTAGGCCAATCCCAGACTTTATATTACTTTACCTGTAAATATTTCAGAGTTGATTCCAGCACATAAAAACCTAAATTTAACATGAAAACAGATTCATTATCACTCCTAAGGAAAGTAATAATTCCATAATATTATTTCTTAATATATTCAATTGTCCCAAATTGTATCTAAAATGTCTCCTTAGAGTTGGTTTATTAAATTCAGTCCACACATTACAAAGTTTGGGTATTTCAGTCCTATACAATTTCTTTTCTGGAAAAAATATTTCATAAATAAGGCAACATCACTGCTGGGTGGCAAAGACATTCCTTTCACAATGAATGCAAGAAGATAGAACCACCCAAGCAAAGAAAACTACATAATGTGAGCAGCACACTCCGTGAGGGCTGAAATCATTCAGTGTGGTGAGTGGGTCATTGTCACTGCTGCAGGCACAGAGTGGATGTTCACTGTGATGAACACTATGTGAACCCAGGAGGCAATCAAACTGTGTGTGGAAGGGGTGCAAAGTGAACATTGGGATACCTTCACAGTCCATGTGGTTGTTCTGAAGTAAAGAACTGTTACTTTAAAATAAATATATGTAGCCCTAAGAATAACTGCAAACTACTAGTTGAAATATAAAATACTTTTTTTATTAATTAATTTATTTTTGTTACAAATGATTCTCCTTTTTCGCTCATTGACATCCTCCTCCCGATCCCGCGCTGCCCCTCCCCCAGAGTAGTTGTCTATGTCCATTGGTTACGCATACATGCATATAAGTTCTGTGGTCTATCTCTTCCCTCCCCCCTCACCCCTTCTTCTGAGGTCTGTCAGTCTCTACCTCAAATCCATATCTCTGGGTCCATTCTGTTCATCAGTTTGTTTTGTTCATTATACTCCACAAATAAGTGGATCCAAATACTCTATCTTTTTTAATTTATTTACAATTACAGTTGACATACAACATTATTTTAGTTTCAGGGATACAACATAATGATTAGACATTTATATACCTTACAAAAAGATCACCCTGATAACTCTAGTACCCACCTGATAACATACATAGTTATTACAACAATGTTGATTATATTCCCATGCTGTAGTTTACATCCCTGAGACTATTTTGATAACTGGGAATTTGTATATCTTAATCCATTCACCTTTGTCACCCATCCCCCAAACCCCCTCCCATCTGGCAAACATCAGTTTGTTCTCCATATCTGAGTATGTTTCTGTTTTGTTTATTTTGATTCTCAGATTCCTCATATAGGTGAAATCATATGGTATTTGCCTTTCCTTTTCTTACTTATTTCACTTAGCATAATACCCTCTAGGTCCAGCCATGTTGTCACAAATGGTAACATTTTCATTCCTTTTTATGGCCTAGTAATATTTCATTATGTACATATACCACTTATTCTTTATCCATTCATCTATCGATGGACACTCAGGTTATTTCCATATCTTGGCTATTGTAAATAATGCTGCAATGAACATAGAGATGCATGTATCTTCTTGAATTACTGTTTTGTTTTCTTCAGACCAATCCCCAAAAGTTGAATTGCTGGGTCATAAAGTAGTTCTATTTTTAATTTTTAAAAGGATTTTCATGACTAGTTTTCATACTGGCTGCACTAATTTACAATCCCATGAACAACACACAAAGATTCCCTTTTCAAAACATCCTCACCAACTATTGTTGTTTGTAGATTAATATATGATACCAATTCTGACAGGTATGAGGCAATATCTTGTTGAGGTTAAGAAACCTTCTAATTTACATTTCCCTGATGATTAGTGACATTGAGCATCTTTTCATTTGTCTATTGGCCGTTGGTATGTCCTCTTTGGAGAAATATTTATTCAGGTCCTCTGCCCATTTTTAATCAGAATATTTGGGTTTTCTGGTGTTAAGCTGTATGAGTTCCTTATATATTTTGGATATTAACCTCTTGTCAATGTATCACTAGCAAATAACTTCTCCCATTCAAGTAGGTTGTCTTTTCATTTTGTTGATGATTTTTTTTACAGCAAAAAAAAATTTTAGTTTGATGTAGTCGCTTTTATTTTTTCTTTTGTTTCCCTTGCCCAAGGAGACATATCCAAATAAATATTCCTAAGAGTGGTATCAAAAAGTTTACTGCTGCCCTGGCCAGTTTGGCTCAGCAGTTAGAACGTCAGCCTGAAGACCAAAGAGTCTCAGGTTTGATTCCCAGTCAACGGCACATACCTCAGTTGCGGGTTTGATCCCCAGCCCCAGTCAGGGTCATTCGATAAGCAACCAATTGATGTATCCCTCTCACATCAATGTTTCTCTCTCTCTGTCACTCCCTCCCTCCCACTCGATCTGAAAAAAATCAATGGAGAAATATCCTCAGGTGAGGACTAAAAAAAAAGTTTACTGCTTATGTTTTTTCCTAGGTGTTTCAGGGTTTAGGTGTCTTATATGTAAGTTCTTAATCTATTTTAAGGTTGTGTGTGTGTGTGTGTGTGTGTGTGTGTGTGTGTGTTTAATATGGTATAAGAAATTGGTCATTTCATTTTTTAAATGTATCTGCTCAGTTTTCCCAACACCATTTATGGAAGAGACTACCTTTACACCATTATATGTTCTTGCTCCCTTTTTTCATACTTTAATTGACCAAATAGGCATAAGTTTATTTCTGAGTTCTATTCTGTTTCATTAATCAATGTGTCTGTTTTGATGCCTGTACCACATTGTTTTGAGTACTATAGCTTTGAAGTATAACTTGATATCAGGTAGTGTGATACCTCCAAATTTGTTCTTTCTCAAGACTGCTATTCAGAATCTTTTTTGTACCATTTAAATTTTAAGTGGTATGTTCTAGTTCTACAAAAAGTGGATTAGTATTTTTTAAATAATTTATTTTTAAATTTCATTTTCCAATTACAGTTTACAAACAATATTATTTTGTGTTAGTTTCAAGTATACAACATAGTGGTTAGACATTTATATGTTATGAAGTCATCACCCTGATAAGCCCAGTACCCACCTGGCACCATAGTAATTACAATATTACTGACTATATTCCCTATGCTGTACTTTACATCTCTGTGACTATTTTATAACTACCAATTTGTACTTCTTAATCCTTTCATCTTTTTCACCTAGCTCTCCAACTCCCCTCTCTTCTGGCAATCACCAGTCTGTTTTATATCTATAAGTCTGTTTCTCTTTTGTTTAATCTGTGCTTTAGATTCCATTTATAAGTGAAATCACGTGATATTTGTCTGTCTCTGTATGACTTATTTCACTTAGCATAATACCCCCTAGGTCCATCCAATGTTGTCTCAAGTGGTAAAACTCCATTCTTGTATATGACCAAGTGATATTCCATTGTGTACATGTACCACTGCTTTTGAATCTACTCATCTATTGATGGGCACTTAGGTTGCTTCCATATCTTGACTATTGTAAATAACACTACAATGAACATAGGAGTGCATATGTTCTTTCAAATTAGTGTTTTGGGTTTCTTTGAATATATACCTAGAAGTAGAATTGCTGGCTCATAAAAAAGTCCCATTTTTTATTTTTTTGAGGACCCTCCATACTGTTTTCCATAATGGCTACACCAATCTACATTCCCACTATAGTGCATGAGGGTTCCATTTTCTCTACATCCTCACCAATACTTGTTTTGATTTACTGATTAGGGATATTCTGACAGGTGTGTACTGATATCTCACTGTGGTTTTCATCTGCATTTCTCTGATGATTAGTCTGTTGGCCATCTGTATGTCCTCTGTGGAGAAGTGTCTATTTAAGTCCTCTGCAGAATTTTTAAGTCAATAATTTGTATTTTTAGTGTTGAGTTGTATGAGTTCTTTATAAATTTTAGATATTAACCCCTCATTAGATGTATCATTGACAAATACCTTCTTCCATTCAGTAGGTGGTCTTTGTTTTATTGACGGTTTCCTTTGTTGCATAAAAGCTTTTAAGTTTGTTTATTTTTGTTTTGTTTCCCTTGCCTGAGGAGATATATCAGAAAAATAATTGCTTAAAGAAATGTCAGAAATTTTACTGCCTATGTTTTCTTCTGGAGTTTTCTGGACCATTGGTATTTTCATAGAGATTGTACTAAATAACTACATTGCTTTGACCAGTATGGATATATTAATGATGTAAATTCTTCCTATCCATGAGCATGATATGTCCTTCCACTTATTTGTATCTTCTTCACTTTCTTTCTTCAATTTCATAGTTTTCTGAGAACATGTATTTTGCTTTCCTGGTTAAATTTATTCCCAGATATGTTACTCTTTAGATCATTGTAAATAGGGTTGTTTTCTTAATTTCTCTTTCTGATAGCTCATAATTAATGTATAAAAGTACAATCAGCCCAGCCAGTTTGGCTCAGTGGATTGGGCATCATCTCATGGACTGAGAGGTTCTGGTTCAATTCCCAGTCAGGGCACACACCCAGGTTGCAGGCTCATTCCCCAGTAGAGGGTGTGCAGGAGGTAGCCAACAGATATTTCTCATTCACATTGCTGTTTCTCTCTCTCTCTCTCTCTCCCTTCCTCTCTCTCTAAAATAAATTTAAAAAAAAACATTTAAAAAAATTTTTAAGTACAATCAATTTCTGTACATTATTTTTGTGTTCTTATTCTTAACTGAATTCATGTATCAGTTCTAATAATTTTTTGGTGGAATTTTTAGAGTTCTCTATATAGCACTAAGTCATCTATAAGTAATGACAACTTTCTTTCTTCCAATTTGGCTGCCTTTTATTTCGTTTTCTTATCTGATTGCTTTAGCTAGGACTTCCAATACTATGTTAAATAAAAGTTGTGAAAGTAAATATCCTTGTCTTGTTCTTGATCATAAAAAAAAAAAAACTTTGTCTTTTCACCACTGATTATTATATTAACTGTGGGTTTGTCATATATGGCCTTTGTAATATTGAGGTGTGTCTCCTCTATTCTCACTTTGCTGAGAGATTTTATAATAAATGGATGTTGGATTTTGTCAAATGTTTTCCATATCTATTGATATGATTATATGATTTTTATCTTTCATTTTGTTTATGTGCTGTATCACAATAATTGTTTTGCAGA